AGTTTAGAAGTATGAATTAAAAGCTGTCAGGCTGATTTTAAAAGCAGATCTCAGTCAAGGAAATGGCACAGTTTTCATCTCCAGTGCCTCTTGGTGGATTTCACTTGCTCACTTATCTTTATTCCTGCAAAACCTTTATTTGTGCCCTGAGAGCCACATGCCCTCTGTGCCCAAACACCAGATGAATGTGGAGGCGATGGGGAGCTCCTGCGTACCCGTGTCACCCAGCCCGCAGAGCACCAGCGCTGGCCCATCACACATCCCTCACGTGTTGGCAGCCAGGGGCCTGCTTTTTACACACCCTATTGAAAATTCCAGCCATGGTTATAGTCCTCTTGCTGTTTGTCACAGAGCTGTTGGTTGTATCTTTTTTTTTTTCTTTTGTTGCAGTTGCTTGTGTGCAACGGCTTTGTTTCCCCCATTACGCAGTGAGGGAGCGGCTTTCTTTGCTGTGCTCAGCTTTTGCTATTTTGCTTAAATTCTTCTCACCTGTAATGAAGTTATTTCCATAATGGGATGCTGGAGGGAGTGTCAGAGAGGCACACTGCTCTGTACAGCGACAATACAAGCACTTTGACAGCTTTCTGGGACATGTCCTCACCCTCAGTTACTAACCATTATACATTCACCATGCTTGCAGTTTCCAATTTGTTGCTTTTGAGTTGTCACCATGGAGAATAAAAGCAGGAAAAGCTACTGCCAATCTGCCTTTTTATTACAGAATCATAGAATTGCAGAATCATCTGAGTTGGAAGGGACCCTTAAAGGCCATCTAGTCCAACTCCCCTGCAATAAACAAGGACACCTACAGCTCCATCAGGTGCTCGGAGCCCTGTCCAGTCTGACCTTGGGAGTTTCCACAGATGGATGCACTTGATGCTCAAGAGCCTGCTAAATGGTTCATTTATTTAATCCCTTGAAGTTACCTGTTCCCTAGCAAAGCCAGAACCTGTGTTTCCAGAGGCCTCAGTCCTTCTTACCTTGCACTTACAAGGACTTTAACCTCCAGGAAAGTAGAGATGGGGTAAAACCACAGTGTAAAATGCTACAGGCTTTACCTCTGACAGATATGCAATTAGCAAAAACATAGTCTGCATGCATCTTGGTGCAGCCTATTTACAGACTGCACTGTGCATCCCTCACAGCCAGAAGCCGCTGATGCAGTGCAGGACCTACCTCTGCTCAACAGCTTGGTCACAAGCTGCACAAATACACCTTCACCCAATGTGACAGAACAGACAAGCAGGTGTAGCAGGCTTGTAGACTAAGGGACACTTTAAGTTGCACTGGGGGAGAGAAATGTGGTTTGTTTCTTTTTAAATAGAAATATGTATAAATATATATAGTCATTTCTGTGTTCAGTTTCGGGAAGAGAGATCAGAGGCTGCCTTCTGCTCGGGCCATTGTGGTGCCTGAGTAGAAGATGTCATCCTCCAGCTTCAGTAAGGTGCAACTTAGGCTGGTTCTTGTAAATGGTAGTAAAAGGAAAGAAACCTGTATCAAAAGGTCTCTGTGGGCAGCCTGTCATCCTGATGAGAGACACTTCTTAATTAAGCAAAGATACCACCATACTGTAGCTGAAGCAATTGCTAAGGGTCTCAACTTTCCTGATCACATCAGTGAGTATGCAGTTACAGAGGTCCCAAATACAACAGGTTTAGAGGACTTCAAGCAAATTAAAAGTCTAAAAGTTTTCATACTCAGGTGCGTGCAGCACACAGAGTGCTTTTCAAAGTATCTTTGAAGAGCTTTAGCATAGTTCTGTACTAGTGCTAAGACCTTTGAAAGGAAAAGTGCAGGTATCATCTCAGCTATTGCCCAGCAGACCTGAGATCGATACACCTCTGTGAATAGCTCAACTTCACTTGTAGACCAAACTGTTTAGAAACAGCCCATGCACCTAAGCTAAACTGGTTCTTCTTTGAGCATCTCAATTACACTGACTTCATGATTAAACTCATAGAACCATGGAATATCCTGAGCTGGAAGGAACTCGCTCTCTGAGCATCTCCTTAAACTCCAGCAGCTTGAGGTTGTGTCCACTGCCTCAGGGGGAGAAGAGACTGGGATCATGGCAGAGCACCCTACTCCCACCCACATCCTTGTTCTTCCAGCTCCACTGTCACAATCCTTGGCTGCTTGCTCTACTTTGCTCAGCAGAGTGCTCTCTGTCACACAGACAAATTGACATCAGAGCATCATAAAGGCCACTAAACCAGGGGTGTGTCTGTGATGCAGTGATGACTTCACAATGACATACAGCGGTTGTCATGGCTGCCCAGGCCTGCGCTGCACCCAGTGTCCTGAAATGTGTACAGTTATCATGGCAACAAGAACAAGCTTGAGTGTACTGGACTGATTTGGCAAGGTGCTGATGGTGGAGGGTCTGCAGAGCTGACCTTGCTGAGAAGGGACCCCACAGTGGACAGCCATTTTCGGATCCCAAGGGCTGTCTGTCCATCCTACACTGTAGCACCGAGATGTGGCATTGTGGAGCTTTCTTAACACCTCCCTCGCTTTCAAAGGTAAGGAATATGAAGCTGAATTGTATGCTCTGCGTTTTGAACTATAGCATTCATAACTATTGAACAGTGTGTGAAATGCCCTATTGAACAATGTGTGAAATGCCCTATTGAACAATGTGTGAAATGCCCT